CTGCTTTGGGTGATGTGTCTGTAAAGATGTCTTTGATGTGCATATCATGTAGTGTTTCGCCTATATTTCCTTCTATGTATTTTATGGTTTCAGGTCTTATGTCTAGTTCTTTAATCCATTTTGAGTTGGTGTTTGTGCATGGTGTTAGGTAGTAGTCAAGCTTCATTCTTTTGCATGTAGTGACCCAGTTTTCCCAGCACCATTTATTGAATAAACTTTCTTTGCTCCAATACATATTCTTTGCTCCTTTGTCAAAGATTAGTTGACCATAAATCTGTGGGTTTATTTCTGGATTTTCTATTCTATTCCATTGGTCTGTGTGTCTGTTCTTGTTCCAATACCATGCAGTTTTGATGATTATGGCTTTGTAGTACAGTTTGAAGTCTGGGAGTGTGATGCCTCCATTCCCTTCTTTTTTTTTTTCAGGAGAGCTTTGGCTATTTCCTTTTTTCCTAAACCACAACAGGTCCTGATAACTGACCTTGCCTCTAGACAGAAGGGACTCCATTTGAAGGCTGGTGCTTGCTCCACAGGCACCCAGAAACCACTTATTTGCTTTCAAGAAGTTATGCTACGTGAATAAGAACTCTTGTCCTTTTTTAAATACAGGTGTCTTCTTCACCAGAGAGCTTCATAAATGACCATTTCAGAACTGTACACATTTCCCCCACTAGACTCAGACCTCCTTGGGGGCAGAGGCTGTGTTTCATTCATTTCCCCTCAGCCAGACACATAACCATGTCTGGTACAATTTGTTCACTTGTTGGAAGTGCAATTGACAGATATGCTACTTTCATCTTGTGGCATCTTTGTATGGGTGAATGTCTGAGAGCAGAGGGTAGAGAGGGGTAGCATGAGGGCATGGAGATCAGAGCACAGTGTTGGGGGGTGGGAGCACCTCCTAGGTTGGACAACCTTCTCCTTAGACAACTCACACTTCACAACTACAGAAAAGCAGTGCTTGCTGCATGTCAGGGTAGCTGTGTGTGCTTAGGGAAGAGTGGCAGAGGACTTCCAATCCCCATTGAGAATATGAATAGGGGCCTCCCTGGTGGTGCAAGGGGTAAAGACACAAACTATGAAGCTATCTGCAGCCTCTGCAGCATGAGTTCAATGCCCAGCCAGCCAGGGAGCTACCCACATAGCGAAGCAGACCTCTCTCTGAATCGCCCACTGCTCCCCTCCGCAGTGTATTTCAGTCAATCTTCCTGTTCTGTTCCCCACTCTATCTCTGGTGGGGAACAGAACAGGCAGATTCTCTCTCTCTCTCTCTCTCTCTCTCTCTCTCTCTCTCTCTCACACACACACACACACACACACACACACACACACACCATGCTTCTGGCCCATACCCCTATTCTTATATGCATAAATAAATGAAACTTAAAAAAAAAGAACCTGAATAGAATGAGTATCATGTAGTGGAGAAAAGATTATGCCTAAACCTGAAAAACCTGGGTTTGAATCCTAATTCCATCACCTGGCATTCATAGAGTTGGATATTAATAATTATGTCAGTTATAGAGTTATGTCATTTCTCATCTCTAAAATGGGAGAAACATTTCATAGGATTATGACATAATTGAATGTAACAATGGTTCTATTTAAAGCCCTAGTAGTGTTTTGATGTGTGGCATATACTCAGTAAATGGCAATTATTATTACTAGTGGTAGTGGTAGTATATTACTGTAATTATTTGGTTGGGTGGAAAAGAGAACCATCCTTTTCCTCATTTCGTCACTAAGATTTTGTCCTTTTTATGATAGTTCAGTGTTAATGACTCATTGAGTGCTAGCCATAACTTTCAGTGTTATTGAACTTTATCAATTTTCCTCAATTTTTCTCCCATCCAATTCCAAGTCTTTCTTTCTTTTCATTTTTATAATGCCCCCATCCCTATACCTGGCCCACTCCCTTCCCAACCAACACTTCATACCATGTTCTTCATTTACTCTAAAGTGTAAATGACTGATCAGCCCCCACAGTGTTCTTCCAGGTGATTGGTGCACCTGAAGATCAAAAGAATTATTTTTACTAAAACTATTAAGACCCTTTAAGTTCAATCTGTAAAATTGCAGGTTGCAATTTAAAGGAACTGATTTGGTGCTCTTGACAATCATTCTTTTTATATTATTGTTTTATTTCATGCTATTTAGTATACTGGTGTAGAGAAAAATGTGAATATTTCCAAAATCTGGAAGAGGAGAACACATTTAATCTTCAAGTGGAAGTTACTCCTACTAACAATCCATTTATACTGTTATATACCCTTGGTTTTAAATAGCCAGCCTTGTTGAATTTCAAAATGAAAAATGGGTGAACAGTGACATCAAAAGACTTAAGCAGAGAAGGTGGTATTGATAATTGAAACTGGAACTGAATATTCTCAGATTTCTTCCACCAGTGGAAAATCTAATTTAATAAAGGTCTTTTTTATTCTGTAAAGTTCAATAGTATATCACTAAATTTGGAAATCATGGTTTGGAAAAGTTAGCTTTCTGGATTATTATTGACTAAAATACCAAAAGCTTCATATGTAAAAGAAAAAACTGATAAATTGAACCACATCAAAATTAAGAACTTTTACTCTGACAGAGTAAAAATTTGCAAATCAAAGAAATCCTTAAACTCAACAGTGAAAACAATCAAACTAGAAACTGTGCAAAAGACATCGACAGAATCTGTATTTATTTGGAATACAGATTCCAAGTAAACACGTGAAAAGATTTTGACATCATCCACATCATCTGTCATTAGTGAACTGCATGTTGACATCAGTATATTTGTAAAAATGACTGAAGTAAAAAGTGACGATGTCAAATGTTGGTGGGGATCAGAGAGAAACTAGAATGCTTACACTTTTCTAGAGGGAATGTAAGATGGTATGGTCACTCTGGCAAACAGTTTGGCAGTTTCCTAATAAAATGCAGTTATTGTATGTGCTAGCAGTTGCATTGGGCATTCAGTCACACAAAAGCCTATATATAATTGTTCATAGCACATCAGTGATGCCAAAACCTGGAAGCAGTCCAGATGTCCTTCAATAGCTGGATGGCTCACCAAAATGAGGTATAGACCAAAAAGGTTACATATTGTTTTGAGTTTGTATAAAATTCTTGAAAAGACAAAATTATAGAAATGGAAAACAGGTGTGTCTACAAAAGGACAACATGAGGTATCATTATGATGATGAAATGTTCTGATCCTAAAAGCCAAAACCCTGATTGTGACATCATACTGTAGTTTTACAATATGTTATATCACTGAGGGAACTGGGTAAAGAGTACATGGGATCTCTGTGTATTCTCAAAACTGCATGTGAATTTATCTCAGTGAAATTTTTAATTAAAAAAGTAAACACAAAACCTTTGGGTTTGCTCCTGATTGTTTATATTCACAAACTAATGTCTCTGGTTAGACAAGATTCTGTCATTAAAAAAAAAAAAAAAAAAACTTGGTTGGGCCTCCCTGGTGATGCAAGGGGTTAAGTACAGCACTATGAAGTTATCCGCAGCCACTGCAGCATGAGTTCAATCACCAGGGAGCTACCCACATGGCACAACAGACCTCTCCTGTCTTACCTGCTGCTCCCCTCAGCAGTGTTTTTCAGTTGATCTACCAGTTCTGCTCCCCACTCTCTCTGGTGAATCTTCTTGTCTCCCGAACCTCTGGCTAACACCCCAGTTCTTGTATGCATAAATAAATATATCTTTAAAAAAACTTTGTTTTTTCCTTTTTCATTTTTTAGCTCATTCAAATATTTTATTTGTTTTTTTTTTGTTTTATGTATTTTTGGCATGTCTTTTCTTTTAAAGAATGTATCTTGAAAAATGTTATTGACCATGTTTGTGTTTTGTGAGTATAGATTTCTCCTCCCTCCCTCAGGTGTGGTCACCGTTGCCCTCCCACCACCAAAGCACCCATTGTGCTCCACCATAGTGTATTGTGCCCTCTCCCCCAGCCTCCACCCTCCAACCCCTGCATACCCCACCTCCCTCCCCTCCCCCTTCCCCTCAGTTGTTTTCCAAAAGCTAATTGTGTCAGAGAATAAACTAATACTAGCAAGTTATTAAGCAACCTATAAACAAATATGCTGCAAAAATGCAGGTGAATTCTTTGACTATAGCACTTTTGTCATTCAATGTTTTCTCCACAAATGAGAGATGTCTGAATAGGTCATAATGGTTAAAACAGAAATGACACTGTTGCCCAACTGGAGAGTATTTGAAGGAAGGAAGAGTTTCTAATGTCTTGCCAATTTATGATACCTATGATGGATAGTGTGTATGTGCTCTGAGGGACTGAGGAAACAAAGGGTAGTGTTAAGGTCCCTATGAAACAGGACTACTGATATCAAGTTTGACTTTTTAAAATATTGATATCAAATCTGCCTAGTGTACAAAAACATAGCCAGAACAGACATTAATGCAATTGTACCTAATGATTAATCAAAATGACTATTTTTATGAGAAAATGTTTGGTAAACACGGAGAAAACTTAAAGTACTAGACATAGGAAAAGCAACAATAATTCGTGTAGCCCCTCCCAATCAAACAGGCAAATCACCCTAAACATTTATCAATGTGTCTAATCTACTAGACTAATTGCCTTTTGATTTTATAACAGAAACTTTTCTATCAAAGCTAGTACATCTAAGAAGTTATATAAATTAGTCTCCTTGTAAGCCTTTAACATATCAAAAGCTATATAATATATACAGTAACTAAAGAGTTTTTAAAAACTGGTTTTGGACTGATGTCAGGATCTATTTATGGCGAATTAACGGGCACAAGAATAGTAATTATGCAGCTTTCAGCTCATCTATTTTCTAAGTTTACCATTGAATCCTGCAGCACTATTTAACTGCTAAGTGTGTTAGTATGTGAGGGGTCATTCTACCGAGCACGCAGCACCCACTTAAGAGTAACAGGGCTTGAATCTGATAAATAACGAGGACTTCAGACTGTTTTCTTGTGCAATCTATGATTGAATTTGGCAGTTACTTGTAGGATGAGTCTGAGTCTTCGGTGATGTCTTCAGACTGCAGGTGGAGATTGTCTTCGTTCTCATCCTTTTCCTCATTTTGAAAATCTGTCGAAATTAGTTGTCTAGCTAATTTGATGTTCAGTCCTTCGTTGTAGTGAAGTTTCCTCTTCATCTCAAACTCCCGCTGCTTTTCTTGTCTTAAGATGAATTCCCTGGAGGTGTGCGCCGCTCGGCTTTCAAGCCCCTCGGTCTGATAGACAGGATCCGAACTGTCAGCGGTGCCCAGTTTGTTGGCTAAGATGTCTCCGCTCGTGATTTCTTTTGCTTCCGCGTCGCTCGTTCCATCTTCGCTATCTTCTTGTACACCTAGGTAGGGGATGCCAGTCTCATTGATGGTCATTAAATCGTGGTCTCCGTATGCTGGGCGGTAAGTGGCCAGAATGCTGGATTCATCCCACTTCTGGGACTTTTTTCTTTGCATCTCGGGGATTGTCCCGCTGGTCTGCTGTGCTGGTCCCGCGATGGAAGGAGCCACGGCGCCGCTTTTGTTCTTGAGGATCCCCTTGATCGGACGGTGTGAGGTGGAAGAGGTGGCCATGGCGGGAGGGTTCGGAGTCTCCACGAGGGGCAGCCGCCTGCGGCGCTCCAGGGTAAAGTTGTAAGGTGTTTTACTTTGGGCAAGGTGTCCACAGCCCAGTTAACCTCAGCGGGACCCTGCGTCACAAAGGACATCACTCGCTACGCCACAGAGGTTGTCGCTGACGTCACCCGCCATCTGGCTCCCCACCCCAAAGGCTTAACTTTTTTTTTAACCAAAATAGGAAATATCCATGCATTGCACAGTGTTTTGTGAATTTCTTCACACCCTGTCACGTAGGGAGAGCTCGTGTAAAATGTATGTCCAAGTGGGGGTCACTGTCACAAATTCAAAATCCAGTATTTTGATCGCAAAGGTGATGAATTGCTTCTGTCTCCTGTACACACACACACACACACACACACCACACATACACACACACACCCTCCTCCTCCTCTCCTGCTCCCTATTTTGGTGAACATCCCATTTGCCAATCACTTCCAAACCAGCTGGGTATCCGGCAACCTCCTCCATGCCTTCATATTGCTCAAGAAACTGTCCAATTCTATCTCTTCTGCCAACGCCCTGTTTTACCACCATCTCTTGACAAGACTACAACCATGGCTTTAGAACTGGGCGCGTCATATGCTCCCCTGCTGCCAGGGTGGCCTTTTTAAACACCCATCAGGGCCTCCCTGGTGGCGCAGCGGTTGAGCGCTGGGTTGCGAAGCTGCCCGCAGCCTCCGCGGCGCCGGTTTGATCCCCGGCTGCTCCCCGGGCACCAGGGGAGGGTCCCACATGGCGCGCTGACCTCTCCTGCCGCCCGCTGCTCCCTTCAGCAGTGTACCTCGGTCCTTCTGCCTGCTCTGCTCCCTGCTCTGGCTCTGGTGAATTCTCTCACCCTCCCACGCTTCTGACTGTACCCAGTGCTTGTATAAATAAATAAATAAATAAATAAATCTTAAAAAAATCCATCAGATACTTCAAACTCTTCAATGGCTGCCTGTTTTAACATAGGAACCACAGTCCAAAGGGGGCCAGAGAACAGCTCAGACATACATCTGTAGCCTTTTTCCCTCAAATTCTGCTCACCCCATCTCCAGCTTCTGTTCTGGCCTTTGAGTTACAGTCCAGAGCTGTTTTCTACCTTTGTTCTACAGGGCACAGTGCGAGGTACCTCAGGACCCTCAAATCTGCCTCTTGTAAATGGGTTCTGCCACCTGCCACATCAAGAAGAAACATACTCTAGTGTGTAAGACCTTTAATGGAAATGAACTTTAATAAATTAGTGTGCAAGAAAGAGAAGAGAAGGGAAAGAGTAGATAACATAGTTTCCACATGAAACACCCACAATTACCCATCCCCTCGTGGGTAAAAGCCCAGATAAACAGGGTTGTTCCAAAACAGGAACTCTGAGGCAGGAAACTCACCACAAGTCTAAGGCACCTTCTGGTGGGGACCCACAATAAAGGGGAGAAGGGGCCAGACAAGTGTGAAAGAAAAGGAGCAAAATCAAAATCCAGATAAAGGCTGCCATTGTTATCCTCCCACGGTCTCTCACCCATGTCTGTTACAAGTGTCTCCTCCCATGTCCCCCAAGTCCCTGGGACAAGTCCAAAGCTGAGAAGCAAGTGTAGCTTCTTCACGTTTCTCTGCTCCATGTGCCTCCTCCAGGTATCCTTGCTCTCCTTCCCTTTTCCCAGTGTTCTCAGCAGCTTCTCCCTCCAGCTCAGCTCTGCCTTTCCTTGGATGGGCCAGGGAACCTGGAACCTCCCCTTTCCCTGGGGACCACCCTATTGCAGGTTCTTCCCACAGCCTGGAATAGGCCTTCAGATTTCAACTCAATTATTACTCCCACAGGGGCCAGTTTCCTGACCCCCAACAGAAGTGGGTCTTCCACATTGCCATGGCCTCTCTTATTCACCGTGGCAGTACTTGGAGCTGTTGTGATTATATCATCCGTGTGACTAGACTATAAGAGGCAAAGGAAGGTATCTGTTTTGTTCACTTTTACCTTCAACTTTGTACCTTCACAATATTACCTTGTTCCTGGCATGTGGTCGGTATCACAGAAATATTTATTTACTGAATTATGAATGATTGGTGATAAGGAATTGGAAGAGTGACATGTGTGAGTGAAGAAAAGGGGAGCTTCAGGACTTTTGCAGTCAGTTATAATTTGTCCGATCAGTCATGTGGGAAAACACCCCATATGTAGAATTTGGGGACTGTTAAAGGAGTAAATTTGGAACATTTTTGTGCTTCACAGGCCTCATATTTCACAGCCAGTGACATTCTTTCAGAAAACAAAAAGGAAATTAAGATCCAGTTTCACATTTTCCCCTCCAGGTAGCATTCATAAGATTTTTTTTCCTTCTGATAACATTTTGCTTCCTCTCCTCTCCCTCAAGGTCTTTCTGCATTTTAGAACACAAAAGCAAAAGCATGAAAGAACCATAAAACTTTTACAAGGGTCTTAAGTACCTTAAGTTCAACTTGTCCTTTATTCTCCAAAGTCCTACTAACTTCAGGAACTCTGCAATCACTTTAAAACTGTGTTATTCATCTCAGAGAAGAATTTCCTGATACTGTACTCTTTGGAAAAAAGCTGTATTGTGTGGTGAGGGCTTTCAGGGACTCAAAAGCTGATATTCAAGGCTATACGAAAACCTTCCGGTATGTAAAGGGAAAACAAAACAAAACAAAACAAAACACCAGTCTTCATTATTCAGAAATACTCCAGGCTACCCTTTTTAAAAGCCATACTGAAAAGCATCACAGACTAGCACAAATGCAATGTGTCCTCCGGGTTCACAGACACAGTAGGCCTGTGCATGTTTGGCTGTAAACAGGATGTGGAGAGACTCTGATTTCAATGCACTGGGATTTTGCCTTTGTGTGTACACAGCACCCACCCCCACATACTGTGATCTGAATATACAAGCTGCTCAATATATAATGAGTCAGCGATCTAATAGTTCTTGTGTTTTCTGAAAGTCATCATTCAGGAGCCCACTGGCCATTCAGGATAGGACAGGAGCACGGTGATTGTCACCTATTTCATGGGCTACAAACAAAATCATGCAAGACATGGAATCACCAGACATTTGATATTTCAATTGCACATTATTTAAAAGTAACCCCTGCTCATCTACCATTTGCTAATTTTCTACTAAATGAAAACCTATATTTGAGTCCTATAATTGAAGTAAAATCTTTCAATTGTAGTCAACAGTACCAGAAGTCTGGAAGTTAGAAAAGATCAGCAGTTCTTTCCAGTCATTCCTGTTTATATGATAATTGTTACTGCCCTAGGACAAGGGCTGAACAGATGTGTCTGAAGTTCCATCACACACACACATACACACACGTGTATACACATACACACACGGTGTGCACACACACATACACCAGGGCTGACTTAAACCTTCCTAGTAAATGACATATTATATAATATTATATGAAATTTAGATACAGGTCTAGAGACGCCTTTCAACACATATTTAGTGGCCATCCACTCTATCTTCAATGGCTTCATATTTGCTAAGTACATCTAACTAGGTATGCTTGTCTGTCATTATAGTTTGAAAATAAATTTTAAAAACCACACACACACACACACATATATATTTCAAATCGCCAATGGCATTTTATTTTGTCTTTTCAACATTCTGCCCTGCAGCCTCCATGGTCCTTTTGGCCCAGATGTCGAAGAGCTGGTTGTTGGCGTGCTGCAGGGGAAGAACCCGCAAGGCCCGGAAGTTCTCCTGCGTGATGACCTTGGCGTTCTCCTCGCTGGCATTCTTCATGGGCTCGTCTGGTCCTGTAAGCTGCGTGTCCATCTTCAATTCTTCCACAGATCTGTCTTCCTTCTTCAGAGTCGAGGGGATCTTGCGGAAGAGGATGAGCTCGGAGGGGTGCTCCTTCAGCCGCTACACGTTGGCCTGGAGGAACTCTGTGGACGTGTTCTGCTTTCTGGGATTCACAGAGATCCCAACGGTGTGGGCGACCTTCTTGTGGATGCCGGCTGCCTGAAACTCTCGCAGTCTGAAGCTCCTGCTTGCGCACACCCTGGTGTGGGTACCACACAATGGACGGGAAGGGGCCTGACGCAGCGTGGGGCGGGGTGCCAGACTGCGAGGCCCGTCATAGCTCACGGAACGTTGCGTTTGCTGACCTTCCATGCTGGCTGCTTGAATCATGTGGCTACGTGGTGCTGCCAGTCCTCGTGGAAGAGGGGTTTTGGCATCATGCCTTCTGGCTGGGTGCCATGGCTGCTGCCTGTGGGCCCCTTCTAGGAAGGACGGGCGAACCATTGATATTTAAAATGTCATTTGAACCATAGCTATTTACACAGCATTGGGCTGTTCTGTAGAGGCCCCCTTGTGCATCCAAACAGTAGGTCACGCACAGACTTAGTTCTTTCCGCTGACAATCACTTCCCTTCTCCTATGAAGACATTCTCCAAATACTTAGATATAAGATTCAGTTCAGGAAGAGAAACAAGTAAGTTCCTAATCAAAAGCGGGAAACACCTAGGAGTTGCCACAAACAAGGGAAGTGCTGTTTCCCCTGGGCGCTGTTAGTGAGAAATTAGCAAAACACTGTGAAGGCCAGTGGGCTGTTTCAGGACCCATTGCTCTGCCAGAAGTGATGATTGACACCAGCTCCGTTATTGGTATCTGCCGTCATGCATTGATCCATCCAAAAATTGTCTATAGTAGTTGGAGAATTATGTTAGATACTGTGTGGTATAAAAATAAAATTACTCTTTGGTTTTGAATCTGCTTCTTGCTGTCTTTGCCTCCCTCTCTTACTCTCTCCCTCTCATACTTCAAAGCCAAATTTCTGATATTCTATTAAATATCTCAATCATAGACTGAGATACCACAGAAGTTCACCATGAAATAGGGATTCAAGTGCAAGTAGTCCACACGGGAGGACATTTGCAGATGACACTGGTAACAGAGTGGGGGATTGAGACCGGGAAGGGCAGGAGGCAAAGGGCATATTATCAGGAT